CTAAAAGCACAAATAACGGCTCGAAAATACAGCTCAAAGGGTGCAAGTCAGCTCGACTCAGCTCGGTTAAAGGAATTGGCTGAAATGCGGACTGGCGGAGTGGGTTGCGATCAGGTCGGGTCACCCAAATGAAATACACACGGATCTTGGGATCGTTTTAAAACTTGAATTCAATCTTTTTTCACCAAATTTTCTCTTCCCCTCTTTCTCTTCCCCATTTTCTCTCCCTCTCTCTCTAGAAACCTAAATGAATTTCGGTTGAATATTCATCGGATTCTAAAAAATGTTACCGAAATCTAGGTTGTTTATCAAAAGTTGGTCGAAAGTTCATCGGTTTCTGAAAATGTGTCGTCGAAAACTGGGAAACTTACTGAAATCTGGGAAGCTCATCGAAAAATCACTAAAAAATTTAAATTTCATCGAAAAATTTCATCGAAATCTAGAAATTTTCCAAAAACTTTACCAAAAAAATTCAAAAAAATCTCAAAAAAAATTTTGGCTACCTTTTACGTGCTTTCTCTAATTTTTCTGATCTCTTATCTATTTTTTGCTCTGTGTCCCTCAAGCTTTTGTGTGAGCATATATTTATAGGGTTTCAAATCTGAAAACCCTAAATCATAAAGGATTTTAGTCCTTTCTAAGTTTTAACTCCAAATTTTAATCCAACTCAAACTCCTTACACAATTTCACACAAACTCAACGCCATTTTTCATTTTGTTATTACTTTTTTTTATCTTTTTATTAACAGAATTAATCCAAATAGACCCCCAAATAGATTGGGGTGTCTACACTTTTACTTTTAATTTTTTCATATTTGTTTCTAAAGTGATTTACTAATGTCATATTCCCAAAAATAAATTTACATATATCACTTACATAGTTCGTTTCTTGTATAAAAAACATAATGCGTAAATACTCCATTTCTGATATGTAAAATGTAGTGCTTAAATTATTTTATTTAAGTCAAATATGTTTATACTTTAAAAAATGTCATATTTGAAAAATTATTTTCCTTATTAAAAACTACGTTTAAGCTTAGAAATCGTATTATTTGCATTTCTAATTAAACATAATGGTTGACTTTTTTTTTCTTTAAAATTATTCGACTTTAACTTTTTAACCGATTAGAATTCCAAGACTCATACAAGTTTAGTTAAATTGCTTCTTGCAAACTGTATAAACTCTAGCAACGAATCTTTGAACCTCTTAAAGGAAACCACAAATTCTAAGGAAAATGATAAACCTAAAAGATGACCAGCTAGAATTCATTGCGAATTTGGACCACATTCCACAAATTTTAAAGATTTTACATGAAGAAGATATCTTGGAAGATTTGACAATAACCAAATTGTTTTATAATGATCTCCCTTTTTATTTTTTGTTACCATCTTAGATCATAGATATCAAATAAAACACATATCTGAATGCTTCACTATATACTTCTTTTGCTATTATTTATTATGATTTTCATCTACATATTTTCCTTTTGGTTAAAATGCAAAAAACTATTTTAGGTTTTGTGAAAAGAATCACTTCTTTTTTAAAATTCTAATTACATTCATGAGATACATATTTTTTTACATAATTTAGATCTATTAAAAATATAATCAAAATCTTTTTTTTTCGTCATTTACATAGAAACCCATCGAGAAAAATTAGTCAAATTCTTGCTTTTTTATGTTAGCATATATATATATATATATTCTTTCCTATCAATATAAGTATTTAATTACTATTCATTAATTTTTATTCTCTAATTTGTTGTTTTCATGTTTTACAATTTAATTATGTATATTTTAAGTTTTTCAATACTTATTAAATAAAATAACAATCTTCTTTGGATATTTTATATGTATGATTTATATTACTGATTTGTTTTTCTATAATGATTAATGTAAAAAAATAAGTTAATTTTAATTAACAACGCATACGCAACTGTGTTTAAATTTATGTTGACAAATCCTTTGAAATAAATATTATGGTTGCAGAGATTTCTAATGGATTGTATAAAGACACATCTTCAATATGTTAAAACTCTGCTAACTATGTCTTTTAAAAGTTTTCTCCCTACTCGATTCAAAAATGTATTTGGTTAAGATCAACTGTCAACTATGTTTTCAAAATGGTTGGAAAGCTTTTGTTGATACACACTGTTTGCAATCTACTGATGCACTCCCCTTGAAATACAGCAATTATCTGTTTTTTCATGCTTTTCTATATGTTGGAAGTAGTATTATTATCACATGAGACATTTTTCGAATAAGAATAGATAAGACCTTAATTTTAAATATTTTTCATTTATAAACAATGTAATTATTTATGATTTTTTTTTTTTAAGATTCTTTTTTTTTTTTATCTTCATAGATGAGAAAAAAATAAGTAATAGAAGCATATTCTTCAAAGATCAAAAAAGAAAAGTATAATGAGTCAATTGCTGAAAAAAATGACAAACAAAGTTATTTATCTTGATGATACAACTTCTGAGTTAGAAGAACATGAGAAAATTAAAGCTGATGAAGATGGTGAAATTGAATCTAACAATGGTTCTTACTATCCTCTTTTGAACTCATCATGACAAAAACAAATATTCAATCATCATGTGTTTTGGTAACGCAACGTATATAAATTACTTTTATATAAGTTCTATTACATTTAAATAATTTAAATTTTTTAAATAATACATATATTAATTATTGTTAACCATTGTTTGTTAAACGATTTTTAAAATTTGGCATGTCACTGCCGTATTTCACAAACAATATCTTTCGGCACATAACGTTGATGTCATCCTAATGGTCCTAAAGAAACACATACGCTGGCCTGTTCAATTCAGGTATTCATCTAAAAATAAAACTTTTTTAGGTGGTTGGAGAAAATTTGTTACAGATAATCATTTGAACCCTGATGAGCGATGTTTCTTTCAAATGATTGAAAAAGGCCTATTATATGTTCTCATTAATTGGAATTAAATATGTAAAACTTAACATATACTGCTTGACATTTTGTCTAAACTCTGATGTTAGTTTTAAGCCATTGTGTTTTTATTGTTCTACAATGGCTTACACCTACTGTTTTAATTGCATGTTAATCTATTTATAATAGCGTCTTTAAGTAGCTATGATATTTAGCATGCTATCATTCTATTCAATTTATTTTTCTTCAGTAAAAATCAATTCCTGCAGTTTTTGCAACAAACTTTTTTCCAAAAAAGTCTTACAAGAAAGATTATACATAGTTTTTCATTGAAAAAAATATTAAAACTATGTTTGCGTATGTAGAATCAGAGTTTTTGTTAAAAAATTTCTAATAATGTTTTAACAATGCAAACACCACATTTTTAATATGAGAAACATAGTTTTTAATTAAAGCTTTCAAACATTAATGTCTTATATAAATTTTATACACTACGATTTAATGTAGAAGATGTAGTTTTTGTAAAATAACATATTCTCTTGATTGTATACCTACCACCCATCCATTTAAATAATAAATAAATAAATAAATAAAAACCTGCAAGCTACAAACCCATACGAATATCTCCATTATAATTCATCAACCACAACAAAAAGTATGGTTGATTACAATTCTTTACACGGCAGAAGTAGCAACAATCTATAAGAACAACCTCCATTTATCATACTTTTATTTGTTTTTTTTCCATGTTATAATCCTAAAGTTTAAAAATAAATTCACAATTTGTTTATCTTCTCTTTTGCCTTTTTAAATTTAATTTTACATTTAAAATTGTATTTTTCTACATTCACCCTGTTATCCCTACAAATTTGACTTTTTCTTTCTTTAATTTTTTTCATTTTTTTCAACTTTTTTTTAAAAAACATTCATGGTCACTCCTTTTTTTTTTCTCAAAACAATTATTAACGTTTATCTTCAACTGCTTTACATTTTATATCACCAATTATATATTTAATATTTTTTAGTATTATATTATATTTGCTTTGACTACTTGAAAAAAAAACCCACAGCAACGTGCAGGCACAACACTAATTTAGGTTTGATTTTGCATTTGTTTCTTTTTTCTTTATATAGATTTTGAAATTCAAATTTTCTCTTCTCTTCATATGTACTAAAATAATATAATTTTTTAATAACGAATAATTGATTTAGTTGATAAGCGTGATCATTTTCGACATAAAGTGATTTGATAAAATAAATAAATGTAAAAAAATTATAACTTTAAAAATTAACAAATTATTAATTTTTTATCAATTAATATATTCTTAAAATTAGTATTAGGAGATTATGAATTAAAAAAAATTATAGACATAATATTTTTTAAATAAAATAAATATTATGATATAAAATTTAAAAATGTTACTAATTAAAAATTAAAAAAATAAATGAAAGAAGCAACTTATCAATACGTAACAACTTTTAGTTGCAAAATTAAAAAATATATATTTAATAAATTATTGGTTCAATTAATTAACGTTTATTTTTTTTAATAAAAAAATTTTAAGTTTAAATTTTATCGATGATCATTTATTAAATTATTTTGAATATAAAATTTATAATCATTTATCTTGAATTATTAAATATAATATATCTTATTTTAATTTAAAAAATTAAATAATTTATTTAACTCTAAATTTTTTTCTTACCAAAAAATATTTTTAAAAAATTTCGGGGTATTATGCGAGAAAGTAGTGAAATAAGCAAACACTTCAGTGTGACGAAAGAAATCACTAGATCGTCAATCTGCCACCTGTCGGTTTAATTTTGCAACTGAGAGAGGGAAAAGAAAGATTTACAAAATTGCCCAAAATAAGAGACAAGTCAGAAGTCGCTGTCTGACTCTGAAGACAGAACTCAATGCCCCGGGCCCAAGGAAGCTTCTCTACACCCGCTAATGTGCCGCTTCTGCAACCGCGGAAACAACTGGCGGAAGCTAACTAAAAAGTGTAAACGAAATGCAAACATATAGACCCGTTACTACTTTTACCGGTATTTTATAGTACTAGTGCCACGAGGAAGGAATTCAAAACCGTGTTCTGTTCTCTCTAGAGTCTCAACCTGTCAACCATATCTGATATCCAATCTCCCAAAAGCTTCCACCGTGTATACATACTCTGTCTCTTATCAGAATTTACAATGAAAATATTAAATGGATAAAGGTATCTTCATCTTTGTTTCTTCTATATTCCAAACATATCCAAGTCCAAAGCTATATATTCCCTTTCATTCCTCCCAGCTGCCACACCAATTCACAATCTTTTAAGTGCTAACTACCACGCTTACAAGTTACGACCTATCCCTTTTTGCCTTTCACCAACTCACCTACAAGATGAAACAAAACCCCAGAGAGACAGATCAACTCATGGACGCTTTCACCATGAAATCTAATTGTGGTTTCATTCCTACAACTAGTACAAGTGCTAGCGGCGACTCTCAGCCAAAATCATTACTTGCTAGATTGCGGAGGAAACTATCCTCAAGAACCAAGTCAGATTCTAAAGATGAAAGAAGATGCAACAGCTGCAGCAGTAACAGCAGCGAGGCCAACTCCGACCTCCAAATGGTGTTTGATTTCCTTGACGAAAATGGTGATGGAAAAATCTCAGCACAAGAATTGCAGAGGTGTATAAGAACAGCAGGAGGACATCTTTCCATGGACGAAGCCGAAGCAGCTGTTAAGTCGTCAGACTTGGACGGAGACGGGATGCTGGGGTTCCATGAATTTCAGGCGCTGATGGAGGGTGGAGGCTCAACTGAGGAGGAGAGGAACAAGGAGCTGAGGGAGGCTTTTGGGATGTATGTTTTAGAGGGTTCAGGATGCATAACCCCTGCCAGTTTGAGGAGGATGCTCAGTCGGCTGGGTGAGTCCAAGTCTATCAACGATTGCAAGGCCATGATTCGTGCCTTTGACCTCAACGGGGACGGTGTCCTCAGCTTTGACGAGTTTACTGTCATGATGCAGTGATTCATTCCCTTCTTCCCATCCCACATGCGTTTCAATTTCACATTAACCACCCAAGTCTTTACAACCAACCGACAACCATCTCTGTTTCTTCATTCTTTATTTGTTAATTTTATTAATTTACTTTGAAAGGATGCTTCAATTTTTTCTTTCAGTTCTGTAAATAGAACTTTTATTGAAACTACTATGATTTATGTTATCCATCATCCCCCCCCCCCCCCCCCCCCCCCGCCTTTCAAGGCTTTCCTCATTGTACTCCATCTATTTAAGATACTGCCATAAGAACTCGCATCGCATCAAAATCCAGTTATTTGTAGTAGTGTCCATTCCTTCCTACTAAACAAGGCAATAAATTCCCCATGGCCTTGGCCCCTGGAGTATGTCAGGCTGTTCATTAATGATAATTCGGGCCTTTTCAGTTCCGTATGAGCGAAAATTGGACAAATCTAATATGTCTCATCACCACTTGATCTTAGAGATGGGACGAGACTGACATAACGATCTTAAAAAGTTTCTTAATACTCTCACCGTCTAAAAACAAAAATTATATTTCATAAAAATAATACTAACAGTATTATCAGCACCCTATTCGACTGATACCAGGTTATTTCAATAGTTTCCTAATCAGAAATAAAAACTGTAACAGTTTTTTTTTTCTTTTCTTTTCTTTCTGAAGGAGATTTGGGTTCCAAATTTTGAAAGGGATACGTCTGCTTACCATTAGTCCTCAAGTGCAATGAAACTTCCTTCAATCAAACCTTTAACACTTCAGTTTATTTGCATGCGCCTGGTTTATGCGCAACGTTTATTCTTGATTCAGACTTTTGTTTTTTTGCTTTTTTCAATACAAAATGAAAAATAAATAAATAAATAAACTAAAACCAAAATATAAATAGCAAAAAAATACAAAATACCAACCTGAACCTAAGTAATTCGTCTTAGGGTAAGAAAAAAAATTTTAAAAACCAAAAACCGATTCAAAACCATATTGTTCTTCAAATTAAAACACAACTTCTCTCTCTCTCTCTCTCTCTCTCTCTCTCTCTCTCTCTATATATATATATATATATACATATATATATATAATAAAAAAAGGAACGGAAACAACGATTAACATAAAAAATCAAGAACATTAGTATATATTTGTCAGTTGGGAAAATTGATAATTAATTTCAACAGAGCGAGGAAAAGAAGTTAAAGTAGAAGAACCTGAAAAATTAATTAATACGGCATTAATTGAACCTCAAATTTAACAAAATGACACTCTCATCTCATCTCAGTTTCTGTACAGGAAAAGTTTGCATATATATGTACATACATATATATATATATATATATTGTTACAAAAATCCGTCCTTTTGGACAAGGTTTTTGGGGCTCATCTTTGTACCGTTTACAAAACAGACCCTTCGTAAATAGTGGACAACCTTAGCTTAAAAGAACGAACGGCCAACTTGGCTCGTCTAGAGGTGTATTTCTGTAATTTTCGGATGGAAGCAGATCTTGAAAACCCAGGGCGAGGCTGAGGCTCGGCGAAGGACTTGGTGCCGGAGGCTGCCGCTGTAGGTGCGTCGTGACCTTTGTCAGCAACTGGAACAGAAACAGATTGGGCTACGATCAAAACAGGAGAAATCCGGGCCTGCTTGCGGCGATGAGAATCGTTTTTAGAGGCATTTTGGATAGCAACGCTGGCTTTGACCGCTAAAGCGGCCATATCCCTGGAGGACAAGCGCTGCCGAAGCTTGGAAATGGGAAGCACGAAGTATATTTGATTGGCTTGAAGCTGGTGGTCGAAATCCAAGGCCGGAATGTAATCGTCGTAATACAAGCGATCAGAGTTGCAAAGGAAGATGGCAGAGGAAGGCACAGAAGAAGAAGAAGAAGAAGCTTCGGCCTGGAGAACCTGAGAGACGAACACAGGGAGGTTATATTTGTGGAGATCACCGTTGAGGGAAACAACTTGAGCAGTTGGGGACGGCGCAGATTCAGACAGTAGTGGAATTTGAGAAGAGAAGCAGGTGCCCATGGACGGAGGAAAGGAATTGGCAGGTTAATTAAGCCTTAATATGGTTTTGCTTAATTGCTGTTAGGGTTGAAGGTTGGAGAAAAGCAGAAAAGAAAATGAAAGAAATTTGAAAGAGAGGGATATAATTATAAAAGAGTAGAAGAAAATGATGAATGAATGAATAAACCAACGAAAAAAGGACTGAATGAATGTGAACGAGGTTAATTAAGGGCGACGTAAGCGACGCCATCACGCGGGGAGACGAAATACCGTTGGAAGTCACGGTTGTTGTACTTTTCAAACAAGGATGCAGCTGACAGATGCTGACCTACTTACTTGGGCTTTTAAATTAACCGTTAATTTTGGACTTCGATAACTTCTTCTACTCCTCAAATTCATAAAACTACTAATTCAAGTGTCAATTAACTGAATCATATTACGGGAACCAAACAGACAAAAAAAAAAAAAAAAGCCGAGCCCTCGTCACTCCTAACTCAGCAATGACGCGGTGTGCGCGTCCAATCACGACTGCGAATGTTCTTCTCTACTCGTCCATCTCTCTTCTTTTTGGTTGCTGATTGGTTTGGAGTGCGAAGGAGGTGACTTGGTGTACAAGCACAACCACCGCAGCCGTTATTTTAGGACTCTACTTGTTTTTCAACTCTCCCGCGATATATATATAATTATACAAATTAAGTAACTAGTGTTTTAAAGGTGTTCTAAACTCTAAATTTCATATAAATAGATGTTTCTCAATCTATATTTACATTTTAGCCAAAAAATGGTTATTCATTTATTTATTAATTGAATATATAAACATGTCGATTAAAATCTAACTATTCATTTTTTTTTAAAAAAAAATCTAACCATTCAATCATTTCATTTCATTTGTTTGGTGAAAAATGAAGCAGTTCCCATAAGGAGAAAATATACAAAAAAAAAAAAAAAAGTTTAATGACTTCAAAAGTAGTATACTTTTGATATTAAGTGGATCTAAAAAATTAAAATATAAAAAATCATTTATTAAATATATAAAAAATCAAAATATTCATAATATATTATTAGTATCAAGTAAATTCCGTATAAAAAAATAAAATCTAAAATAAATTAATTGCATTTTAAAAAAGAAGTTAAAATAATGATTAAAAAAATTAAGTTTGATATAAATGAATTCTACGCATAAAAGTAAAATATTTTAAAATATATATTTTATAATTTTAAAAATTATTTATTAAATATTAAAAAAATAAATTAAAAAACAAATTAAAAGAGCCAAAAAAGAGATTTTTTAGCTTGACATGCATCTCTCTACGCCCACCATACATGAACAAAAAGTTTAAAAATTAAAAATACTCGTGACATATCATTAGTATAAAGTAGATTTATTAATAAAATATAATATACAAAATTGTTACATACTATAAAAGCTTAAAAATTGGTAAAAAGTAAAAAAAAAAAAAAAAAAACTAGTATAAATAAATTCCACATATAAAAATAAAATATTCTAAACATATATATTTTATAATTTTAAAAATATTTGTTAAATATTAAAAAAAATTAAAAAAAAAGGACAAAAATGAAATTTTTTTGAAGTTGACACAAGGCCTTTCACGCTCATCGTACACGAGCAAAATTAATATGTTAGACATTGACGGTTTTACTTGGGCCCTTTGGACCAAAGGTATGGAATATGGATTTCTGCGCGATAATTCACTAGTTCACGCTTCATGGAAAATAATTCAGTCTTATTTTTTATCCTTATCAATAACGGATACGGACCATCAATTGATGCAATTACTACCAGCTTCTCATTTTCATTTACGTGCAACTGCGTTTTTACATACCCAAATCTCTTTGTTTAGAAAATGGGAGGGGAGATGAGAGATGCCTCTATGATTTTTAGATATACTTGATTGAACATTTATTTGGTATTGAATATGTAGCTGTATAATCAATCCTACTGAACAGATGGTTGATCATGAAACTAATACAAAGTCAGTCATACTTCAGACTTGGTAGATTCTATGAATTGAGGAGTCAGGCGAAATTTACAAGCACATAACACGTTAAAACTTGTTTCTCATAATTCTATGATTCCTTGCATCTTCTCTGTCAATCTGGGTCTTTTGACTATTCCATTCCAAAACTTTTGCACTAACATTCCTTCAACCTTCTCCCCTACGTTAATCACCTTACCTCTCATCACATCCATTAAATGTCGTATGCCTGTCAGGTCTTAGGATCTGTAGAATTACAACAATCCAATATAGACAAAAAGCCAAAAGAAGGGCATTGCCTGAAGGATCCCAAAACCCTTGTTTGCTCAGAAGCAATCAGCAGCAAATGGAGTCTGCCCATGCACAGCCTGTCCTATTTGTAAACTTCCCCTTTACCAAGTATTTTTGCTCAAATCAATTTTCCATTCCAAAAACCATCGCACAATCCGCCCCTAGATTGTTACTTGCTTCAAATGATTTGCCACAACAACTAAATTGTGCCAAAATCCAAATTTTCCCACTTAAAGGGAGCAACAGATCCAATGTCAGGCAAGCCCCGCAGGAATAAGCAGACACAAACACAGACAGCAGCAATGGCAAGCATTGAATGAACATAAGGACGTTGAAGCAAACCTTGTGAACTTGGAAACCTCTTGTTAAACTTTGCTGCCACAACTGCACACTTGGCACAAGAACTACGCCCTTGTTTGAACTGTGAACCTATCTCGTGCAAGTTCACTGCAGTCAATCCTAACAGCTCATCCTCAATACCAATCCTCACAGAAACTTGACCATTCCTTCTATCAGCAAATTTGCCAGCCACCAACTTGTTGTAAGTATGGTTGTTTCTCATCATAGCATAGGTATATGGAGACTGCCCATTTGCATCCAGAAGGGAATTCCAGCAGGACAATCCAATCTACAAAAGAGAGTTGAAAATTTAAACACTAGCTTACAAATAAATGAAATTGAGGCATTCAACCTAGTATATATAGAAATAATGTGCCCACCACCTTCCCCTCTTTTCACAAATTGAGAGGAAGGCATAAACATGGATATATCATTTATATTCAGGATATGATGAAGATGAGAATTGTTTCGGTCGAGAGGAAAAAAACTTTTAATCTAGGATGCCCGAAATGAATGGTCTGATAAAGATAATCATGGAGAAGTTTCAATAATAATCACAGTTATGATGCTGTAAAACTCATACCTCCTGTGGATCATTTGTCAACGCGTCGACCATATGCTCTGAACTAGATGTACATGCAGCCAGATGTAAAGGTGTGATTCCACCAGCACCTTCAAGATTTGGTGGGAAGATATACTTTTTTGAATTTCCATCACTGCTACTAACAGAATAATGTATGAGCAGGTCAGCCATCTTTCTACACCTTCTTTTTACTGCCCGGCACAACAGCTGAATCTCAGACAGCATCGCTAGTGACTCCCTAGATAGCCCATCCATATCCAAGTTGCTTTCCACCAATATGTCAAGGAGTACCTTGACCAAAGCACAGTAGTCTCTCTCAACAGAGAATATGAGCAAAAATTTGAACCGGCAAAGGGAATAATCAGAACTCTTGGGCAAGGGACAAGTGCTTCTCCTTTGGAATAGCCATCCAAGTTCATTCAGAAAGTGCAGGACTTCCTCCATTGACCTTGGATGACGACTATCATAAGCATGCTCTTCAGAAATAATGCTAGATGCTTTAGCTTCTATGTCAAATTCAGATTCCAGAAGTCTCAATTCTTTACAAATGGTAGCATCAGCTATTATAATGGGAAAACTGTTGCCCTTGAATCCATTCTCCACCTGCTCAAAATTTTTTTGGGAAACTTGAGAATTCTTCAAAATAATTCTGAATATGATCCAGAGAGTTAGAGTAATTGTTTTACTTAAAAGTCTTACCTCAATGAAACAACGACCTAGAGCGCTCGTTGATGAAGCATGAATCTTAAAACCACCCACCATGTTTACCTCATCATATGGACTTCCCTGATACGCTGACCCACTAATTTGCATTGACGAGTATCCACCCATGTACGCACAACGAATCCTGCACAGTTTTCAATTTAAAATTTCTGAAATGCAGAAACAGAAGGAACAGATGAAAAAGTTTTCACATAAATGCACATTTTGCTTACTGGGTGCCAGGATTAGTCAGATTTCTACCCCTCACTAAAAGAGAGGATTCCTGCCCACCCACAATGGCCAAAGGAGACACTGAGATCAACTCTGGGGAACTCCATGATCTCCAGGATTTGCAGAGACGAATCTTTCCTAAAAAACAAACCAAAAAAAATTAAGAACTATCAAAACAGTTTATAATCAAAGCAGTGAAATTTAACTGCACTTCAAATCAATCAACAAACAGTGAATAACTTTGAAGTCATCTCAACCTAGTCAGTGATAATAAACATACTCCCCAGAAGTATATAAATAAATAAATTATGATGTTTATAATATGTAAAACAGTTTGACGCTGAGCAATAACACCATAATTTCCATTAGACTCACCATCTTTATGTGACGCAAACTGCCGGCCAGTATAAACTAAAAACCTTGCCTTTCTCCAAAAATCTGAATCTGAGTCTTGCAACAAACAATTGACATACTGAAGCAGGTTTCCTTCAAGCTAAAAAAATCACAAACATCCTGCAAATGGTCAGCTCAATGTTGCACAAAGGGAAAGTTGTAAAGCAGAATGTAGTAGCACACTCACTTGCTCCCATGCAACAGATGACATTGATACATAGAGTGACAGAACCACACAACCAGGCCTTATATAGCTCTCCATTTCAGATGGACTATTGGAAAGCCAATTATAGATCTGTAAAATGAGTGGTTAGAATCATCATTATATTCAAGAAAGACTGTTATGGAGTTTCCACTTCCAGTTATAGGTAACAAAAAATCCAAAATTGGCAAATAACTCCTCACCTGGGTCCGCAGTGTCCCAGGGAAATGGCTGGGGTCCTTGTCAAACAGCTTAAAAATTATTCGCCCAGTGCGATCCTGCTCAGGAACCATTCAGCCATTAGAAATGTTAATGTAAGACACATACAGAGGCACATGCATAGGTACTACTTATACGCTACCTGAGCATCAGAGTTCAAGCTAGAGGGGGAATGATCCGACCCAGAAGACGTGTACCCAGCTTGAGAAGGGAAGTGTTGAAATGAACTATGTCCAGTTTCTTTTTTTGACCCACTAAAGAGCTCAAGAGGCAGAATAGAAACATGAGTCCTGCTTCCTTCAGCATTTATATTAGTGTCTCTGCCAATTTGCATTTTCTCATATTTCACGGCCTCTGCTGTGCTATGCATAGGGAACAATTTTTGCACAATTGGAGATGAAGATGGGGATCTTTCCTCCATTGGGTTGCTACTGTCAGAAGAGAAATACTTCCCAGAAGATGCCAGTTTTGGTGGGCTGTCATCCTCAGGCGAGGAGCTAAATAGCTGCAATGGTAAATGAGCTCGAGTTTCTTGAATCTGGCATTCTGAATCTTCAACGGGAGACTGATAACTGGTACTACTTTCTCCTCCAACTGAAGTAAACTCCAGAGGAGCTCTGTTTCGTGTCCTGGGAGCAGCCACATTATCAGGACAGGTTGACTTGGTCTTCTCGCTATCACTGTTCTGGCTGCTTCTTTGAGATAAAATTGCAAAGGCATCAGAAGAAGATGATGTCAATGTGGCTGAAAGGGCAGCGAGTAAATCCACGGTAGATGGAGAAGATGTCTTTTTTTCATTCAATTGGTTTTGCTGTCCTACCAAAGGCTGGTCCTGGTTCTTCCTGTTCAAAACTCCAACGTTGGGCAACTTTGCAGCCAGGTCCATTGGCAAATGTAATGAATTAATCTTACTAAGAATCTGAATGAGTTGATCTCTATTTGTTACTGATGAGTAATTAATGCTTTTGTCCTCATTTTTGCCTATATTTATAAGCACACAAACATCAGCTTCAAATTAAAAGAACAATTTGAAAGAGCCACTCATATAGAATAAATTTCTTACCTTGTGTCCGAGCCAAGGCAGTCAGCAAGTTGACAATATCTAAATTTCCATTCCCAGCATTATCCCTGTTTACAGGGAGTAAAAGCCTTGAGGTCAAATCTTCAGGTTGTGTTTTCCTTCTTCGGCGGTTATGCCCAGCAAGTCTACGCCTACAACTTCTCTTCCCATCATCAAACTCAGAAAGAGGGTGAAACCTGCACAAAAAGCGTTATCAAGGTGATGTGGCATCAAACAATAGCTAAACATAAAATAAATGAATATTTAAAGGACTGTGTTTTAATTTTGCGAAACATTTATTCAAAAAATTTGAAGCCACAGGTGAAAATTTTAAGAAAAAAAAAAAAAAAGAAGAAAAGTGGCAACCTGCTGCACTGCTGGCAGAACCTCTGCATCTGCTTCCCAACAAGTGCTTTAGTCGCTTTGCTATGAATCTCACACACTTTATGCCGACGGTGATAGTCCTTTGCATTAGAGAGATCTTCCTTGCAATTATCAACCTGACACATGGGATAGTTGGTACTGCCAGGGGATCCAGAGCGGACCTTTTTATTAGGCCTGGACACAGGCTCTGCCACAGAATTCAATCCCCCAGCCAGATTCAGTTGCAGGCCCTCATCATCCACATTTACCACAGTGGTCTTCTTGGACATTATAGAGTTTTCATTTCCATTAACAAGATCTTTCTTTATTTGCTCTGCTGTGGCAGTCCCTGGCAGCAGAGTCTGTGTGTCCAAGGGTTTGGCAATGAATCTTACAGTGTCCCACTCCCATAGCTTAGGGTTCCAATTGTCCGTGGGATTGGCAAGGCGCTGTTGGGAAGGGTTTTGGTACTGAAAGCTTGGGGTTTGATAAGAAAGATCACGTTTCCTGGGCAGGGAAGGAGGTTCACAGAACCGACTGGCAAGGGCCTGGTGGATAAAAATGGCAGGAGCTACTTGTGCGCCTACCTCCTCCATGTGTCTGAAAATAACTTGGTTCTCCCGACACCAAATGATCTCTAGACAAAGGAAACGAAGACAAAAGTGTATTTTAAGTAGTTATGTGGGGGATTGCAGAAAAAACTAGGAACATACAATACAAGAATGTGGTTCATCTCATCCCAGGTCAAAAGAAGAAAAGCTGAATTGTTAGAACTTAGAAGGGGTTAAGATGAGACCATAATTTTACGGCAGATTATCAGATCACACAAAGATTGGGAACTACTGAGACATGTATGTATACAAGTAAAGTAGGATACAAAAATATAATTAAAATTAAAAAAAAAAAAAGAGCATAAGGAAGGAGAGAGAGCGAGAGATAGATAGATAGACGAATGATACAGTACTTCAAGTAAATTCTAAATATTTATATATATATATATATACGCATAAATAAGATTTGAAAAATACCCTTGACAAAATCTCAGAAAACAAATTCACAGCTTTCTTCAAAATAAGAAAAAGTGAAAGCAACCACCGTCTTTGGTCTTTTACTTCATCGCAGTCGCAGATCTAAATTCACCTCTGTCCCCTTGTCCTTCGCTTCGCCTCTCTTCTCTATTTGTAATCATTTTCAAGGAAAACCAAATCAATCAAAAAAGAAAAAAAGGAATCTAGTGTAGGACAGAGAAGGAAGCGGCAATCAGATCCGAGAAGGAGAAGAAGAAGAAGAAGAAGATGATGATGATGATGATGAAACAACTGGGAACTTGGGTTTGGCTCCACAACTTTGGTTTACTTTTTCTTGTCTCGCCCTTTTCTCTCTCAAAGAATAAGAAGGAAAAAAAAACCTTGTAGTGGTAAGCTAGAATTATATTTTTCTAATTCAAGTTTTGTGTGGGCTTGGCTTGGCTCGGCTTGGTTCGGCTCGGCTCGGCTTATAACAAAGTTCTTTTTGGTACTTTCTTTCGGTGATGACATAAACCACAAATTGAAGCAAAATATTGAGCTTCTAATGTATTTAGGGCCCGCCCACGGACCGACGAAGAATCCAACACTCTTCCTTACTTTTTTTTTTTTTCCAATTATTTACTATTTACTATTTAGCTTAAGTACAAAAAGCAAGCACGTGCGGACTTTATTTTGGATCAATTAATATATTATTAAAATTATTATTTAAAGATTATGAGTTCGAAATGTTTATATGTCTAATTTTGGTTTTAATTAGATAAATGATAAATTAAATAAATTTAAAAATAAATTAAAATTTAAAAAAATAGCCAGTACATCTTCCTATTAACTAATGTTAGTTGTTGGTGGTAAGTTGTGTGGTTATTGACTTTTTATTTTTTATATTCATACTTGCTAATGTGTAAGATTAGTGATAATTAATCAAAAATTCTACTAGTTACTCTCAATAATCTTTTGACTGAATGATTAAATAAGAAATTATATCATATTATAAGATTATAAGATTTGAGCTGGAAGTTGGAACCAAAAAAAATCTACTAAATGCTAATAAAAATAAAAATAAAAAAACTCCTTGCGGTTCACAATTATTTGTATGTGTAGGGATGCATTGATAATATAAATAGTAAATAGATAAAGTAGTAATTACTAGATTAGCTGTTACAAATCACGCCATTTTTGGCCTTCTGCACACATACTTAATTACCGCACAACACAAATAAAATTAATTTACAAATTAGTATCTTCCCTTATATTCACTCTCTATCATCTAAATCCAATTCAATGAGACCTAACTTGCATTGAAGATTCCCAATCCATCCCTTGTAATCTGTATGTTCATATATAACTATAAAATCCCTTCTATCTCTTACAAACTGTTATAATTTAGAATATTAATTTGTTTTGTGCCGACTAGCTTGTTCTAGAGTTGGGATGGATTTTTCCAGTCTAAAACCAGCGCATCCCGTCCAGGACCAGAAGGAAAGGAGAAGCACCAAAGTAATCAATCAATAATAACGTGGCATTACAAGTCAATGTCTTCCTTTCCTTGTACGCTTTCATGTGTTGATATTACATGTGTTTTGACATTTTCAACCAACAATAATATATATATACACGTCTGAACTTTTATTTATATATATACTAACTAATAACTTATTCAAAAAAGAAAATTACTCTAATCTAATTTGGTCAATAAAGTTTGTGTGAATCCATGAAGTTTATTTTCTTTTTCATGTATTTGTGCAACGAAGGAGTTGGAAACTTTGAAATTGACTAAAACAACTTAATTATGATGAAAATTGTACTATTTCCCACTTGACTGCATATCCTTCACATTCACATGCTATTTTTTTTTTTAATTCGAAGTAAATAAATTATCTAATTCTTCAGATTATGATAAAATATATCGTATTTAATAGTCTAAGACAAATGACTGCAAGTCATATATTTAAAATGATCTTAACAAATGATCACTAACAATATTCGAATCAAATCTTAACAAATTAAATCAATCATTTGTTGATTATTTTCTCTTATTTTTGTACTTATCTTATATCTTTAAAAATACTGTAGCTAGCTACATAAGCATAATTATTTCTGAATTATATACATATATATATATATATATATGTAGACAGAATAGTATGTAAATTTGTTATGAATCCTTTGCAATATGCTTTATGAGGTTTAGAATTCAAATCATAAGTAGGGTGGATTTTGCTTGGCAGGTAATTTTCTTTCTCTCTCTCTTTATATATATCAAAGCTCTTTATATTTGGCTGTAAAAATTTAAAAGTTGAATGATTAATAATAATATTATGAAGGTAAAAGAATAAGGTGAAAGAAATGTATTGAAATTAAGTTTTTTTTTTTTAGAAAGGCATTGAAATTATATTGGATATGTATGTAAAGATATATACCATAAATACTAAATTAATATGTTTGATGCTGGAAATAGAATATGTATCAAGGTGGCCTTGGATACAGCCTTTTTGTTAGTACAGATAATTAAGCAAGAGAAGTAATTAACTTTAAAAAACGAAGGAATAAATAAACAAATAAAAGTCTAGGCCCAGTGTCACGAGTCGCAAGTTCCTTGTACCAAAATTATGCGTCTGTGCATCATCAAAACTATTTATAGTCGAGGTCAATCATTCATAAGTTCATTTGCGCATGGTTAGCTTGATATTGATCTTTTAATACTTGTGAGTTTTTCTTGACTCTGACCTCGTGGGTCACACATTCTCGAAACTCAATAAAGAGGAATTCAACTCTCATCACGATTCTTAGTTCATGATTCTTAGGTTGGCCCTAAACACTTAATATTTATTCGTAGGCATCAAGATTTTGAGCATCGACTCGTTTTTACTCATAAAGGCGTAAAATTTCGATTTTTGGGATATTTTTTCATTTTAGTATGATAAAAACTCAACTTCATACTTACTTGCATCATACGCAAATTCTCGTATCTAAAACTTAAAGGCATAACACCAATGTTGGTCAATAGTTAGCCCAAAGTTACATTAGATTTATCTCATCACACGAAACTCATATCTCAAAGCTTCAGCTTTTAACCTCATTTTAGATTTCTCACATACATAATGGACACTTGACATCATGCCCATCCCACCTTGGAGAACTTAGGTGTGCTATTCACTTGTAGCACACCTCTATCGATTGGTCATAAGGGTTTAGCAACATATCTGCTTACTAGCTGTTCATCCCTCAAACTCGATGGTATTCTTTTACACAAACATCATTTATGATCCTTTTAACTCGAGAGAAAACTAAAAGGCATATGAGGCCCACTGATCCCGATTGTCTCTGAGTTTATCATGATCCGAGAAGATATCGTACTATACTCGTGATGCCCGTCCACCTAAACACCACATGTACTTAGGAGTAGCTCACTTTAGAATAGCCAAGCCTCTACCTGCCTGCTAACTAAAGGGCGATAGAGAGTTGACACCGATCATCTTCTTATAGAGAGCGTAAAAGCTTTCTTAGTCATCCTATCAAAAACCATAAGAATGTCTAAAATGATGATACTTTTCTCCTTAGCCACCTTAGAGCATTTATTCAACCAACTCAAGGCCTAGTGACCTGTTTCTTGGCCACCACAATTCTGACATTTTACTCGTTATTTCATCAATCCACTCAAAAATGTCTGCATATGACTTCAATTAATAATATCTAACTGGTTACCTAGCGTTAGGGTACTCGCACACTGACTTACACTTGTTTGTTTATCTTGAAGCCTAGGGCTCACATCACCTATACACACTATCAATAACATGTTCTCTTGCTTACACTATCTACGCATAGCTCCAAGACCACTCAGTCGAACACAAGGCCTTATCCGCTATTCAACTCAAAGTCAATCATGATAGAATCGAAGCACACCACGACTTGACCATAACACCTGACATGTATATTTTAATGGCACCAGGATAGGTGCATCTGTCAACAAAAAAGATCAACATTTTTCGATGTGAAGCACATACTAGGTCGATGTCATCGACTTTACGCAATTATTTATGAATTACCCACCTTAGCATCCTAACTCCAAATTTTCATACCCATAAGATCCACATAATTTGCCTCTTATATTACCACTATCACCCCATCCGACATGACATTCATTGCCTCCTCGTACATTTATATAGATATATACGTACACAAGATTACTTAATTATCTATATCATTGTATATAAAAAGGATCTCGAAAGATCTTTATACTCACACGTGTTTCCCTTTTTATCTTTTCTTTGCACAACCTTTTATTTTCTTTGTTTTGCCTTTTTTTTAATTTTTTTCATCTTTCAGACTATCCCATCAATCTTTGTGTTGACTAGTTGTAATTAATTATTTTTTTAATTTATTAAAAATCTCAGTTATAATGTTTTAGTTTTTTCTATTTTAATTTTTTTTCTTTTTTTATGAGACATTAATTTTAAAGATATTTAAATTCTATATTTGGTAATTTTTTGTGAGTTTTTTATCTAATTTTTGTTTATGGCTTTTTTTCAATTGATTATTACTTTAATTGTATTTTTTATATTTTAATATGTTAGTTGGTTGAATATATATATTTAAAGACTTTTTTATTATCTAGTTGTTTAGTTTTTTTTTTTTTGCAAAAAATTTAAAAGACTTTTTAATTGACAAAAATATTTTCTTCTCTTTCTATTCACCTTTTATTTTTTATTTTTATTATAATTACAATTAAGCGAATAAAAATTTTTGAAAAACTTTAAGAAACATTAAAAATGCCACATGATAACCTAAAAGCTCGTCATATGTCAACATACTAACTCCTATTTTTTTAAAAAAATTTTAAACAAATTAAAGAAAAAAAGATGACATGTGTTAAGCAAAAGACTTATCATATGTTTTGGCACATACCACCATATTATTCCTTAAAAAATAATTTTAATCTATAATTATAGATTATAAACCACTTTATTATCCGTACAATGCATAGAATAATTTTTTGTATATAATATATACATAAAAAATCACTTTGAAAAAAATACATTAATTAAAATTTTAAAATATATAAAATTCTTTTAGTACATTATATCCAAATTTTATATTATAAGAAATATTCCTTTTTAAATATTTTTAAAATTTTCGAACATCCTTAAAACTATTATTGAATTAATTATTTTGACTACCTAAATACTTAAACTGTTTCTAAAAATTTGAATTCAAAGATTGTGAGTGACTTTCTCAAATTTTTATACCGGTTAGAATTTAAAGGATTTTAAACTTAAAATACCTTTATTTAATTAAGGTTATAATGTTCTATGCTTAACATATACGTCTTACTATTATACTAAAAACAATAGAATTACACATTTATGAACAATAAATAAAAATAGTTTTGTTGACTTAGATTACTTAAATAAAGTTGTATCGATTAATTTCTATATAAAATTCTTTTTTCAACTTAAAAAAATTCATAAATTAGACAATAAACATATAGCAATTGCATAATTCTCTTAATAAGAATTTCAACATAAA